GGTAGGGGGTGGGATAGATTGGGGGGTGTTGGGAGGTGATATTGTGTAGATAGATGGTTTGGATGACTTGGATGTATGATGTATATAAACTTTTATAGGGGTTCGCTTAATTCTGTGTTTACGTTCTTCGTGAAACTTGATCTCTCTCACACATATCAGTTGTTAGTAATCAAAAACAAATGACTTCCTACTTACCTTATCATCTTCCAGCTCTAACTCCCACTCACCCACCACTTCCACAACCCAACCTAATAACCANCAAAATACCTCCCTCCCCCCTCCCCATCATTCAACCCATCCCCACAACAACAGCAACAGCAACAGCAACAGCAACAGCAACAGCAACAGCAACAGCAACAACCACCAACCACCAACCACTCCCACAAAATCCACAAAGCTCCCCATCCATAACCGTAACCAAACAAGAACAACACACTCGCTTATTCACCTTTCCCCCCTTAAACAAAATCTCTCTCTTCCTTCACCACGCCCTTTAAAAAAAAGGGAAGGAAAAAAATACCCCAGCTAAAAAGTGGAGAAGAGCAATAAGTCCCAAGTCCCAATTAACAAACCTGAAAAAAAAAAGAAGAACCCGATACTAACACTTCCTTATACTCACATTTTCACCCCACCATCCATCACCAACACAAACCCCAAACCCCAAACCCTACTCTCCAACCAAGTCATCCATATCAGTCATCCACAATCGCCTTGATTCCCGTGATACCACAATAAAGTAGTATAACATTGCAATACGTAGTCGGTACGCAGGTAGGTAGATGACACAACACTACAACCGAAACCGGGACTTGTGATAGGATACTACTGTACTGTACATGGAGTCAAAATTGTAGATACTCTACATACTGAATATATGTTCCTCTTCAATGAAGAGGTCATATACTACTTGGTACGAGGATCGTACATTAATAAAACTTAATAAAAAGGGGGCGGGGTATTGTAGGTGGAATTCTGTATTATTTAACGCGCTTCCCTAAGCCTTGGGTTCCTAGTCTTGTCTGTCATGTTGGCGTAGAGGACGGACATCGATCGATGGTCGAAGAAGTTGACATGTCGAGGAAGATGATAGAACTTAGCAGCATGTTCTACACCCAACAAACGAGAGATGCCATGTCCGCCATTTCGGAAGAACTAGCGATATAACAGGCAACATTGAAGGATTCGAGTCCAATGTGTGTGGGTGCATTAGATGTGAAGCCACTTGACTACAGTAGATATAGGTAGGTATGTAGATTAAAAAAGTAAAAAAGCCCGGGGGCGGATCATCATCATCATCCAAAAATTCATCATGAACTCTCCAAGACCATGACAACCACTTTCGCCATTCCCGTGCCCCTCGCCCAGATCTCATCATGTTCATCATTCAGCATCTCCTTGGAAACTTCCAAGGGTACCTCGGCGCACGACCGCCGGAACCGGTCCTTCATGGCGTCGATTTGGGCCACGTCTATCAATTCGTCTCCTATCGAGTGGAAGAGGAAGAGCTTCCCGTCCGCGGGGAAGTATTTGGTGAAGTCGGCGAATTTGGCGGGCGAGAGACGGTCCCAGGTTTTGGGGTCGTCGCCGAATGCGCCAATGGTGAAGTCGCGGTAGGCGGGGATTTCTGAGTGGTTTTCGCACAGGAGGCTCATGTCGTAGATTCCTGAGACGCCGACGACGATCGAGGGGTAATTGGAGAGTCGTGATTCAGGTTCTCCTAGAATGTCTTGCTGCATCAGGGTGTGCAGTGCCAGTGTTGCCCCGCACGAATGTCCCATGAGAATATAATTTTCCCCGAATTCGTATTTGGATTGTAGAAATTCGATCGAGGTAAGGACATCTTCGAGGTGATCTGGGTGTTTGGCATCGCGCAATTCGTTGGGGGGAGTGGTTTCGTCCTGGGGGTAATCTGGGTGAGGGGAGAGACGGTATGAGATGGAAGCAATCCCGGCGATATGGCTCAGCAGCAGCTCCTTTTTCGTCGAGTCCTCCAGCAGATGTTGGATGGTGGGGTAGATGGATTTATCGGTGACCAAAGGATCGCGCCAGGCACCGCCGTGGATGTATCTTTTTGGGCAGCAGTGTTAGAGGAGGGAGGAGAGAGGAGAGAGAATAGTGAAGAGGTTGCGGGGCAGGGTTGATAATAGAAGTACTCTCGTACTCGCAGCAGCAGCAGTAGCAGCAGGAAAATGTAACCACTCACACTATCCACCGGCCATGGTCGTTCCACAAGCCCTTCTCCCTTGGCTGCACGACCGTCAACGTTTGCAGGTCGTGATCGCCATAGCTGAACTCTTCCTGGATCAAGTCGTCTGGCAGGCCAGAAATGGACGTCGACGCCATTCTAGCTGGAAGATGTTTTGATACAGGAAGAGAGAAAAGAGTGGGGAGCGATAATTTACAATGGCACTGGCATACAGCGTGACAGCCTTCGTTGCGCTGCCCCAGAATTCTACCAACCTAACCTCTGCCTGCTCTGCCTGCTCTGCCTGCTCTGCCTGCTCTGCCTGCTCTGCCTGCTCTGCCTGCTCTGCCTGCTCTGCCTGAGCCTGACCTGAGTCTGAGCCGGACCCCAAGCACTGGCACGGCGGCATTACGACACTCATCATGGTCCGAGGATATGGCTGGTGGGTGGCAGTCGGGTGGGTGGTGCTGTCTTGTCTGCCACCACTCTGCTTCTGCCACCAGCCTAATGGACCGCCACCAAAGCTTGAAGGGCAGTGTAGCCTACAAATACAAGTAGTGTGCAAAGTCCCTGGGAACCGACAGCTGGGCATGCCATGGCCCCAAGCCCCAAGCCCAAGCCCAAAGCTCCTTCGATACGATAACGAGAAAACCCAAAATCCATTGGCAGAATGGCTAGGCAATGACGTACCAGTATCCTTAACCATCCAGAATTTTACGAGCAGCCGACCTGAGGTCCACGGTGTGGGGTGGGTACAAAAATGTGGTCACGTGTTGGTGGGGTGTACCTAGGTAGCTGGAGCTGAAGGTCTTCCTGGTTGAGGTCGAGGTGAGGAAAATTTCAAATGGGATCCAGGGAGTCAGGGTCCAGCTAGCTAGGTGCGGTGAACAGTAGTAGACCTGCCCTGTGCGTCACAGCCTCGCGTGACCCTTCAGATCATTGTAAAAATGGGAATGAAATCGAGAGTAAGTTCTGTTACATCTTGCGCTGATAACATGATCAATATATCTACCAATTTTGGCACCTTTCCATGACTTGGCCGTTGTAGCATCAAGGATATAAACCTCGCTGGCTTACCGACCGTATCGAGCTCAAAAAATCCAGCGCGGGGCATCACAACGTGAATACGATCTCCCAAGACCGACCTCAACCCCTCCAGACTCGAGAGAGAACGAAGAACGAAAACGAAAAAACTGCGAAGAGAGACACATCTTCGTCACTTACCCAAAGAGGCAACGATGGTCACATGGTCGATTTATTTTGAGTCTCAAAATACGGATACGGACCCATTGAGAGGAGATTTTCTCCGGGTAAACTCTTGACACATCAGGGCTGCAGAAACGAGCAGAGAACGAGAAGCTGCGATGAACGACAGAATATTTGACGAATCCCTAAAAGGGATATTGAGGTGGATTTATTGGTTAGTACGAGTAAGTTATACTTGAAACTATCATATATAGTAACGGACGTGCAGCTATTTTTGTGATGTGTCTTATTCTTAACTCGAAAGAACGAGCAAAGACGAGAAGCTGCGATGGACGACAAAATATTCGATAAATCCCTAAAAGGAACATTTCGATGGGTTTATTGGTTAATACGAATACGTTTCGAAACTCTAGTTTCGAACACCTCATGCAGAGGCGGGCGTGGGGAACCTCCTACTACGTAAACGCTTGTATATCAAACTACTCTGAGAAACCTAATACTAAGAGAGCGAGTAAGAACGAGAAGCTGCGATGGACAACAAACCATTCTACAAATCCCCAAAAGGGACATTTCAGTGGATTTGATCGTTGATAAGAGTAAATTATACTCGTCGGGCAACCTTCTACAACGTGAACGCTCCTATATCAAACTCCTCTTGAAAACTCTATAATAGAGAACGAGCGAAGAACGAGAGACTGCGATGAGCAACAAATGATGTTCAAAATTCCTAAAAGGAACATTTCGGTGGATTTGATAATTAATGAGAGTTAGTTATACTCGATACTCGAAACTCTCACATGCAGTGGCGGACGCGTAGCTATTTGTGATGCGGCCCATTCCTACTCAAGAACGAGCGAAGAACGAGAAGCTGCAATAAACAACAAATATTGTTCGATATCTCAAAGCGGTGAGCCGTGACTCAACCAAATGGTCATTGCTGGTGTTGGTACCATCCGCGAAATCTTGTTTTCCATCCAAAGCCGGCAACGGATACGGAAGCGGGACAGTCTTCTTTTCTACACTCTGATAATCCAAAACTATTGAGCGGATGACCTGCACTCCATGTGCCCCGCGTATGCCCACGCTCTATGCAGACATGGCTTATGTTCCCTTGTGTTATCTTCCTACGAGCTTTCACCGCAGAAGCTTGGTTATGGAAGATTTAATTTATGTCACACACCCTAACAGAAGCTCCATCTCTCCGCTCCCCGCCCAGGAAGCCGCTTCCGGATTCGCCGTTAACTCAGCTTCTAGCATTCTCTACGACTCTGGAGGGGCATTGGAGGGTTATATTCCTATTTTGATACACCGAACACTGCAAACAGTTTCCGTCTTGGGGGTCTTATCTCCACCCTTTGCTATCAGTCAAACCGCTATCTGATATCCGTAAGGATAGTCACTGTGAGGTAGTATTTTGCTGTGAGCGTTTCAACATTAAAGGTAGGCTAGTCCAGACTTTCAATCTTTTCCATTTTCGAACCACAGATCACATCTTCTCCAAGCAACCTAAACTCCTCAATCAAGCTTTTCTATTTTTGTCTACTAGATCAAATATGGGTTCTATCGAAATAAATTGGAACGCCTTGGACGTGGCAGTTATTGGCGGTGGTATTGGTTGGTTTTGTTCCGGACCCATTAAAAACTAAACCACTGACTCCCCCGACTTCACAGGCGGTCTTTCAGTCGCAACCTCTCTTCGAAAGTCTGGGCACAAAGTGACAATCTACGAACGCGCTGATTTTGCCGGAGAAGTTGGTGCCTCTATTAGCTGTGCAGCCAATGGGACAAGATGGCTTCACGAGTGGGGAGTAAATGTTCCTATGGGTAGACCGGTCATTTTGAAGAAGTTGATCTCACATGACTGGGAAACTGGTGTGGTCTCAAATGTCTATGATCTTGCCGATTATGAGCAGAGGTGGGGACATGTAAGTTTTCAAAAATGCTTGTTGCCGGACGTTTGAGCTGACATATCCACAGGTTTATAACATGTTCCACAGAGTTGACATGCATGCCATGCTTATGGATTCGGCTATGGGTCCTTCACATCCAGGTACTCCAGCAACCTTAAAAGTCGACCATAAATGTTCAGCCATCGACCACAAAGCTGGACTTGTTACATTTGAGAATGGCTTCCAAGCAAAGCACGACTTGATCATTGGAGCTGATGGAATTGGTTCCACGGTACGAACTACATTGGGTGTTATCCCAGACAGAAAGCAATCCACATCCCACTGCCTTCATTGTATCATTACCACCGAAGATGTTCACCGACTGGGATTAAACAACTTTGCTGCCAACGAGGCTATTGAGTACTGGGGAGGTCAAGGAATCGAAAAGATTGTCTTTTCACCTTGTAGGGAGGGAGAGCTTCATTCATACTACTGCTTCTTCCCAACCGAGAAAAGCAGGAGTGCTGGTGAGGGATGGGGGCACACAAACACCGTCGAGGAGTTATTGGAGCCTTTCGGAACCTTGGACCCAGATCTATTAGCCATCTTCAAGAACTCAACCGACATCAAGCCATGGCGATTGTTCGTCCACCAACCTTATCCCCACTGGCAAAAGGATCTGACCTGTATCATGGGAGACGCCGCCCACCCCATGATGCCCGACCAAAGTCAGGGTGCTTGCACAGCCATTGAAGACGCCGCTGCCCTTGGCATCATCTTCAGCCCCAAATACAAATTCACCAACTCTCCAGAGGATATCAGCAGAGGACTCCAACTTTACGAGGCAGTGCGAAAACCTCGTGCTTCCCGCGTGCAAGCTGCATCTGCCAGAGCTCGCGAGAACATCACGGAGCGAATTGGGTTTTCTAGTAATACTACTAACCCCAACTACAAGGTTTCGGATGAGAAGAATAAGTTGACTATTGAGGAGATGAATGAGTATGATATGCATGCGGCGATCGCTGCCAAGGTTGCTGAGGCTTAAATTGTTTTGTAAGATGTAGATGTAAAAGTTTGATGATGGGATGGTGTTGAGGACATCAGGAGGCGTTTGTATGTACCTTGGGCGGGATATCCGAGTTTTTCTATCTAAAATACCATGCTTTTCTGAGAAGTAAATATTCTTATCTGCTTAATGTCTGTTCTGTGAATATCTAAGACACAATACTACACTGCCTGGGCACTTACTCAAGCATTTTTCGATCCCTTGTCGTGATTGGCTACCAAGGAATAGTGGAGCACCCATCAACCCGGTTTGTGTCTCTTCACCTCCATTGATCCTCCTTTTGCAATTGAACCCCCTAAACACTCACAGAAGCCATCTCATAGCAACCTCACCAAACCATAACTGTGATACCAAGCCGATAGGTACCTGAATGTCGCCAACTTCCGAGCGTCCTGCGAAACGGGTGAGGCAGGCCTGTGAACCCTGTCGGTAAGTCAAACTCCTCCCTTGACATCTCCCATTGTTGAACAAATACCTGATAGATGCGACAAGTCGCAAGAAATCGAGATGTCCGGGTGAGAAACCGATCTGTTCGTATTGTGCACGATTGCAGCAGGTTTGTGTGTATGCAGAGGAGAGGAGTGAGAATGGGAGGAATTTACGGAGTGTTTCTCCTGCTGCTCAATCACCGTCTATCCGGACGTCGAGGCCGCCAACTAGTGATGCTAGACTGGTAAGTCCTGCTGACTTGTCTTCGTGGATGGGAAAGACTGATTGAGAATAGGAGGATCGGTTGAAGAGTGTGGAATCTCAACTTGCGGAGGTTCTTGCTAATCAGGTTTCCCTCACGAGAAGTCCTGCTCCGCAAGGACCGGAACCTCCGACCCGTTTACATAGGAGGAATCCAAGTATAAATCTGCACGATAGGCAAGTATTCACTCACATCTGGAGGATTTTCCTAATCGCATTGCAGTCGACTTCCTTCATGGGATATAGTTCAAACCATTGCAGAAGCATATCTCACATACTGCGATTGCCAGCCATTACCGTTATTTCATCGCTCTACGTTTCTCCAGACTTTGAAAGAACGTGGTCCAGAAGTTCTGTTTTCTGTACTGGCTTTGGCGTCAAGGTTTACACCGTTATTCACCAATGAACCCGTGACTGAGTACGTTGAGGCTGCTAGAGCGATCATCTCAAAGAAGGTTTTCGATGGCGCTGTTGCGTTGTCCACAATACAATCCCTCTGTCTGCTCAGTTTAGTTGATTTTACGGGTAGGCTTCCATGTTCGGATTTAGTGTACAAACTGATGTTAATAGATGGTAACACACGACGTGCGAGTATCCACAGCAGTCTCGCTATGAGCCTAGCGCAAAATGCTGGTTTAACGCGAGAAACTCATGCCTCAATATCAAAACAAGAGAAAGAGGAAAGAAGACGAGCATTCTGGAGTCTCTTCCTCCTCAAACGATTACACGGAGCTGATTTCATGGTCTTGGATTTCTCCGCGGAAGACAATTTTCCCTGGTATCCAGAAACCACTGGAAAAGTCTCAAAATACGGACACCAAGCGGAGCAATTCCCTTCGAATGGTTCAGACTCGTCAGTAGACAAAGGAATCGTAGCTTATGCCATCCAACTAAGTGAAGTATGGTTCAAAATCACCAGATACGCATGGAGGCGGGGAATACTGAATGAATCTCCCCCGTGGTCACCTCAGTCTGAATACTCTGTAGCACTGGCACAACAAATGGACTTCGAGACCCGAATGCCATATATACACCGCTTTAATCCTGCCAAATTTTCCCAGAGACCGATTGAAGAACTTGATCAAGCTAGAGATTACTGGGGGCCATGGCTACTGATACAATTCCTCTACCACACCAATCTTTGTCTCCTCAACCACCCACTCCTTCTCTCTCTACGACTACGAAATTTCAAAGGGGTGATTCCCGAGATCTTCCTCCAGAATACGGCGGATTTGATGGCTTCCCATGCGTCCTGGATTATCAATTTCATCGATATGTTGGAAGCGAAGGAGTTCAAGGTCTCCGATCCATTCTTGGGGCATTGCGTGGCGATCGTTGCGACGATCTATTTACAGGAGAGCTTTGTGGATGACGAGGGGAAGAGGAGGGACAAACAATGCAATTTCGATAAATGTCTACAATTTATTCGAGGATTCGGTGCGCAATGGCCGCATGTAGGACGGATTGTAAGAGCCCCTAACTCCCTTGGTACCACACTAACTAACCAACCCCCCTTACAGGCCCAAAAACTCGCCTCCCTAAGCGAAACAGTCTCCTCAACCCAAGTAGCAAGCGACGAACCCATCCGTCAAAACCGCAAACTCCTCATTGATCTAGGCCAATTCTTCGAGATCTTGGAGTACAGCTCCTCCTCCGAAATTGCCGGCACAGCAAGGAACCTCTTCGATGCCTCGCTGCATTCCACTCTAATGGTTTCTCGCACCGAGATGGCGCAGACGACTGTGCTGCCGGAGCCTACCCGGGTCGAGCGACAGGAGTTTGGAACGCCCACTTTGGGGACGCCCGTTGCGGGCGTCGGGATGGCTGTCAATGTCTTGCAGGGTAATGAGTTTTTGGGCTTCGGAGGGGCGGGTGGGAGTGCTGGTGCAGGTGCGGGACATGGAAGTATAGCGTTCGGTACAAATATGGATTCTCATGGAGCCCAGCAGCCTTTTCAATTCTCAGATGATGAACTGGCGGTTCTGGCGGAGAACTTCTTTCATCAGCGACCGCAGGTTGAGGGGCAGGGGAGTGCGGGTGGGTGGTGGAATTTGGGGAACCTTTAGGGGTGTGGATATAGTGATATACGACTAACATTCTGCTGTATGGTATAACTACCTATCATGGCTGGCAACTCTGAGACCTCGAATCCTTTATGGTGAGCCCGCTGATATGTTTTCCTGTTTGGGGATTCTATAGAGTAGCGCTTTAATGTCGAGAGACCTAACACGAATCTTGAGAGACGTACATAATCACATCAATAAGTCCATCCCTTCTTGATAACATACCTCTGATCCCTCCCCTCCAACCTAACTCCTCTACTCCCAGTCTCTCCAGGTGTTTTCTATACTATAATAACCCTCAAATCACACCCACCCTTTCCACCCTTTCCTCACTTGAACTACCCTATTATACTCATCCCATCCCATCCCATCCCATCATTTAGTTATACCGTTCCTATCCTTATCATTACAATCCGCAATCCGTAAACACAAATCATCACAAATATAATACTCCAGAGTCCATTCTATGGTATACATTCATTTTCACTATCTATGAAGAGAGTGGAGGGTGGGGAATAAATAGTGTGGGTGGTGGGTGTGGATTTGAATGGGAATGAGGGATGGGATTCGGATGGGATGGAGGGAGGGATAGATGTGAGATATAGGATGTGGGATGTGGAATGTGGGATGGGGAATATGAAGTATAGAATATAGAATATAAAATAGGGAATATAAAGGAAAGGTCATAGGTACTGTACAACCCTAGATAGATAGCGAGGGGTAGTTTTTTAAGTTATATTATATAGGGGTAGATGGAAAGGTGTCATAGAAGTATGATATTAAGCTAGATAGAAAGTAAGGTGAGATTTTGGGGATTGCTGGACTTTTCTCTTTTTTAGAAGAAGGGGGAGGGGGGTTTACTTTGTTTGGGTCTAGGTGAGGGGGGAGGGATTAGTGTACGAAAGAAATACTGTTGTGCTGGGTCTACTTTCTCTTTTGCTCCACTTCCTTATCTGATCCACTTATAGTTCTGCTGCCTAAATGCTTCATTTCTGCCTAAACCTTACACTCTTTATAAACACCTTAGATAGCTAGCTTTTACAATGCAATCAATTCTCCATGACCTTCAGTACCCAATACCCTTTCAACCCAATAAATACTTAGTTCGATTAGAGTAGGTTAGAGTAGGCGTTCTAAATAAGTAGGTTAGCGTAGTAGATTTAACTACTTAAGTAAACCTTAAGTAGTATTTATAAATAGTAACTAAAGTATAGAGTAATTATCCTTAAATAGTATCCCTATTATTTACCCTTCCAACCCCCTTTTCCGGGTAAGAATATAAGCTTTTCAAAGTCTTTTTAGAGAGCCTGTTCGTATTTCGTATTACAATATTGCCCCCCCCTTAGCTAAAGAGCCGCTTACTAGGTAGTCGTACTTATCGCGGGTATTTATTAATCTCTTCTCGGTAAAATAGATGGAATAGTATAGCTAGCCGCCACGTCCGAGTAAATAGAACTACTAGGCGGAGTCTTCGGGGCGCTATGGAACCTCGGACTTATTTATTCTATACTACTTAAGTAGTACTCTAACCTACTTAAGTCTTGGCGAGTAGGTTAGAGTAGAGCTAAAACCTACTTAAGTAGAGTTAAGTAGGTGCCTCTACAGTCTACTCTACGCTACTCTATTTATTTCTTTCTCTACTTGTTTTTAGTCTAGATAATGAATATTTCGGAAGTTAAAGATCTAATAGTGTAACTGACGGTAATATTGTAGTGTTAATAATTAAGGAGTTACGATATGAGGGGAAATTTATATATCCCGCTTTCTTCCTCACTAACTATAAACCACTTCTATCAATTAGTTGAAGAATTCTATTATATAGTTCTATTGCCAAATTACCTATGGTAATAGTATTGACTAAGTTGTCGATTTGAAGGTTACTATAGCATGTATCCGAAGTGTATACGCGAATGACCTTAGATTCAATTACTATTTTTCTCTTCCTATGTCTAGGACATTAGGTGCTACATCCATGCCCCATGTTACTGAATTGGTAAAGTAAGTTGTTGGTCCCTGAAACGGATGAACGAGAAGTCAAGGGTTACTTGTCTACTCAATTGCCTTGCAAGGTTAACTTTGCCGGCTCACCATGGCTACTTCGTAACGCATACGAAACATGTGCACTCGATACAGGAACGGGAAAGTAAGAAACACGAAGTGTCAGAGTTGGGTTTGGGTTGCATCTGATTTGCTTTCATTTCTAAAGTATCCAATCGACTTTGCTTTTCTAACTATTGTCTAGACGCTCTCGATTGCGTGGTATCCCTATAGCCGTTCTGGCTGAGTAGTCAAGTCTCATTCATATTGTTCACGACCATCTCAGCTCATCCAAAATCAGTCTGATTTCGTTCAGAAATCAGCTTTAGAGACTATTACATTATCAATAATATAATATTCAACCCATTACCCCCCTTCTTGAACTTCCATGTAAGTATTTGGATACTGCACAGAATGTTCAAGAGATACTCTACCGCCCATCCCAGAAACCAAAACCTTTGCTCCCATTCAATCATTCGCCAATTTTCATATTGTGTTTCGCTCGCTGCCTTTCCCACCACACGCAAAACCGCTATCCAATCAATCCCACTCTCTTCCCAACCCTTGCAACAACAACACTATTCACCACATGCGTCTTAGGATGGACAACCGCACAAAGTTCCAAGCTACCATCTCCAATAACCCCCGGAGTTGTAGGATCAAAAACAGGATAACACAGTCCTCTCATTCCAGCCACACTTCTCACCACGAGTAGCGCACCGGGTCGCATTCTTGAGACAATAGAACGAAGTGTGGTTTCCTTTTCCACTTGTGTTGCACCAACGAGTGCCGCGAGGAATACGACATCGTAGTCCGATAGATCGGATGAAGGTGAGTCCTTGGGCTTAGATTTGTCCGAGAGAGAGGGTGAAGATGGCGGGGAGACTTCCGATTCTGCTGAACCGAGATGGAAGGACATTCCTTTTGCGACCGGGCCAAGGTTTTGACAGAGCTTTTGGGAGATAGTTATTGCTGTTGAGCTGTGGTCTATATTCAGAACTTCGATTTCTTCTCTCTTCGCTTTCTTGTCTTTTTTCAGTATTGAGCGGAACCATGAGGACCAACTTTTGGGGTTGGGACGTGGAAGTTGGGCGTTCAGTTGTTCGAGAGCGCAGAGACTGGTTAGTGGTAAAGGACCAGAACCAATGAAAGCAACTTTTCGAATGGGTCGTGGGTCAATGCCATACAAAGACGCGAGCTCGAGGCGAGTGAGGTCGACGTAATTGCTGTAATATGGGAATGAATGCAATTCTTTCTCTGCTTGTGCTATATTACAGGATCTGATTAGCGCTATATCCCTAAGCAACCCATAAAGGGTAAGACTTAGCATTAGAGGTGGACTGACATCTCCCAACCCCAGAAATCTTTCTCGACCAAAAACTCTCCAGCTCAAACTCTGCCTGTGAACACAACGAATGCAAACTTGGTAAAATGCGCAGAATCCGTGGGTCCGTTAGGATCTGTTGAGAAGTGGCATCTGGTATTGACATGAGACAGATACCCATCAATTCTCCGAAGAGACCGTTTACAGTAGGACATGGCTTGAGATCTTCGCTGTTGGCTTGGAGTCTTGCGTGGATGTTGAGGATTTGAGTGATGAGGCTTTCAACTTGTACTTTTTCGGCGATTTGGTCGTACGTAGGTGTGGAACTTGCGCTCGAAGGAGGAGAAAGTTGCGCCATTTTTGGGTTCTTGGGTGTTACTGATTTGATTTAAGTGGTATTGGTGGTGAGACTGTTTCTTTACACGTTCCTCAGGTTAAGATGTTTCTCGTAGTATCTCTAGCAGGTCTGAAGGTCTAGAGATATCTAGAAGAGCTTGGCCTGTTCGGGCTAATAAATCCCACGATCGCTAGAAGTTTCACCGCGCTTCAGCGTCACAGTCAGATCTCGCTGTCTGTCCACCCAAGAAAAGAAAACCAATTTAAGCGAGTAATCAGGCGAAGGCAACAGAATTATATCGTGATAAACGTTGAAAGAAGTGAGCCTGAAGGTATGATTCACGTAAGGCTGAATTTACAGTGTATGTGATGAAATGGATATAAAAGAAGAATGGGAAACGAAAAGGGAATTGTTGATGCGATGTTTACAATCATCCATTGCCCCGCTATAGGAACTCCTTCCTTGCATTCAACGCCATGCATGGCCATGCATGGACAAGGAAAAATGCTTTTTATCGTTCATCTGATGGCCAAACATGCATGAGATCCGCCGCATCCATTCCCAAAGGTAGATGGTGCGGTAGGCGAAACCCAGGGAACTGGCCAAGCTTACAAGATGGACTCACGTGGAAAAAAGGCACCAACACGCTAGTACACAGGACTTGCTGGGTAGTTAGCTTTAGAAATATATGAAAGCTAGAATGGGGAGAGAAGCGAAGAGGAGTTTATTTAATCATTTCAGCACCCGAAGCCAAGACAAATCTCGACAAACTTCGACAACACACCTGCACACTTACCCATCAAGGTTTATCCCCCGCTCCTGCCCCACTTATACTAGCGTCTAGTTTTTCCACCCACCATAACTTTAGCCAATGACCCTGACGAGATTTGAGAGGCGGAAACTTTATATTTGTACAACTCACATTTTCAAGTACCTAGGCTTACCAACACCTACCTAAATGATGGATGATTTGCTGCTAAAATTTGGACATGCAAAATCAAACAAAAACGCCAAGATTATATTGAAATGGTGGGAAAGAAGAGTTGGCAAATCATTGAAGATATGAGTTCATTGGAATTGACAGGCCTTTGCTAGAAATAATTGAAAGTGGTGATTGTTGGCCTGCATGCATTAGCTCAATTGTGAAGATGAGTGCTGCTGTATCTAAAGTGATGAAGCAACAATTTCATCGGCGATGGGGCGAAGCGTGTAGATGGTAATCGGGGTTCATGTAGTAGATAATCTGGGGCTATTATAAGGCACTTTGCTCTATGTGTCGCTTTCAAAACAGCACACACAAGCTTGAAGGGCATTTTAAAGATGCGCTCTGATCTCAATCAAGTTTCTAGCTGAGTGTTTGTGAAGCGCCCTCGACTACCAGGATCTGCCATTATTCTCAAGTTATCAAAGTTCCTCTCCTTGCCAATACGTCTTGTGAGTCAAGTGCTTTATGGGAGATATGGATAATGGTTCTCCGCAATTGTACAAGCCGCCTCTCTATAAAGCAAAAAGAGCCATCTTTAACCAGTCACCTTCAAACTCCTTCAAGATACTGAATATCAGATACTGGTTATACAGTGCAGCAAGTCTCATCAGATTATACCCTGTCTTTTCGCAGGTGGGATTGAGGTTCCATCCGTTTTCAAGGAGCGCCAGTAGAATCCTTGTGTGCCCTGACAGAATAGCCTCCTCAAAATTGAGTCAAATACTACCTTCCAGGATTGTGTTCCAGACCGGGTTTCTATTGAGACCCATATCTGCAAGCCAGTGGAATGCTAGTACACAATCCCCCTCCCCCATGATGCGCAAGCATTTTCCTCACAACTGGATTATTTTGGAGGAACTACGCTCCAAATATGAGCTTTATACGATGGACATGTATTAGAAGAATAAGATTGATCCCATCCCATTATTTACGTAAAGTTCCCTGTCTTTCTGAAGCAATCTTACAATATAAGTATGTCCATCGTAAGCAGCAGGTACAAGATCATTACAACATGGCAAGGTTGGAAGGTTATCAAGCCGCAAGCGTAGACCCATTTCTTCTGTCTCCTCGACTAGGCCCATCATCATTCTTGTAACCTTGATGCTACCTTGACTGCACGTCTCGTGTAATGCCTCCATTAATTAATGCTCGGACTATTCGGACGGGTCTCCTATGCTGGCCAATATTAATAGGACGAGCTTCGACATGATCGCCTCGACATGATGCACGTAAAGCTTGCATCAATGTATATTGTGAAACTCGATTGGATGGGCTTGTAAGGAGCTCAACTGTATCAACGTGGCCAGAGAAAGATATCACCAGTATCCTCGAAGGAAGCCCATGCTGGTTCAAAATGGTTTTGTCTTATTCGCAGAAATTGGGACCTCTGGGTGTAAGAATAATTGGGAGCGAACTTTGGAGTGTGTTCGGGTTAGTATAACGGGAGAGCAAGAGGCGAAAATTTTGAGATGGCCCTAGTGTGCGGCCAGATGTAACGGAATAAGATTTTTGGAGTCAGTATTGGGGTCTAAGACATGACTCTGGGTTTGGCACAAGATAAAAGCCGGGGATTAGGAGTGATTTAGGAGTGCCGCAAGAAAAGAAAGTAGAAGAAAAGTGTTCCCCTCTAAATACCAACTGAAGTGCTGACTGTAGCAATTTCCATTGATTGAATGTTGAATTGGTAATGATCGAATCATATAACTATCACCAGCTTTAAAGGCGGCACGGATAGCAGTGTATTTTTTTGGGCTGCACTTCTGAGAGGTTTGTTTGAGGTAACCCCAAAATGGCCTCTCTGATTTAGATTTGAAGTACCAACCCGTCCACAGTTCGTGGTCACTATCTCACTAAAGGGAGTCAGCATGATTGAATAGACTTCAGCATGGTTCTGGTATCGCGGGGTCGCTAGAGATCTCGTAAACACCATCCGTAAGATTTTGCAATGATGTCGTTCTTCTTGCCTTATCTTGTTTTTCTCAATGGTGAAGTGTTAAGAATAATTGTGATCTTACAGAATACAAATCTAACAACACGCTCACGTGATTTTGGTAATCACGTTCTGGGTCCAAAATTACTGAATAAAATCAGAAGACCCACTGTTCATGAAAGTTTTGAGTTATTTTTATAACAGCTGTCAAGAAGCTAAGTAATGATACGACCATCCTAATTTAAAGCGGGCTTCGCGAGCACAGACGCCTGCGGCTGCTCGTAGAGCCCCTAACATCAGCTGGCTAGTACCCTCCCTGTTAATTTCCTCTTTAGGAAGTTAATACACAGTGGAGCACTCCGAGGCTCTGCCACAGGCTCCTACTCACTTTACTGGACTGGAATGCCTTGATATGGGGCACTTCTAGTCACCTTACACTTGGCTACTCCGCTATCCCACTTAACCACTCCACTATCCCACTTAATCACTCCACTATATACGATTTACAGGCCTTGTATGGCTTCCAGTACTAACCAGCTGGTGTAAGAGGCTCTGCCAACTCGTTCCTCGTTGTTGAGGCCTGAGGCTCTTATAGTAAGAATGTGATACGACGTTGAATATGCTCATTCCTCTAGGGAAGGTTTGGTAACAATTTCGTGGATGTTTTGTTGGTGCCTGTGAGTATGTCACCCATGGCAACCAATAAACGCTCATACCCATACGTACCAATTGTCACGAATCACGTGCACACGTGATAAGTGAAGACCAGGCGGCGTCCTGACAAGTCAAGCACATCTATAGACTTATAGCAAATAAGGGATCGTTTGGGCTAGCTAAGCGATCCAGGGATTTCCTTGGGTTGGAATCACGTGACCAGCGACATGGCCGACACGGTCGACCGTGTCGACCATGGGCGACTGTTCGACCATGGCGACTATGGGAACGAGGGTTCTATATAATACTGGCACGTCTGCCATTAGATAGGAGCTTCGTGCTCAACTTAGTTATCAATCTTATCATATTAGTTTGACATCTTTG